GGGGGGGAGAAGAAGAGAGTAGGCGCACGGCCGGCCCAGCGGGATCCCGGCGCATCACGGTCCCCTTTCAGTTGCCCCCATCCAGGGCGGCTTTGCTCTCCGCGTCATCGGGACCGGGGCAACTGTGCGCCCAGATGGAGTTGCTTCTGGATTGTGCCGAATCAAGGTCCAGCTCCTGGCCTTGCACCCGGATCGCGTGCAGGCAGCCCCGGAAATAACTTCTCTCCTGAGCCAGAGCGGAGATTTCCTGTCCTAGAAGGCAAATAAATCACCCCGTTGATCGACACTTTTTTAAAAAAAAGAACAGCCAAATCAAATTACATCAGGAAGGGTAACTTGATGGGTGCCCATCCCCTTTAAAGCAAACCTTCTGTTTATCAGGGAATCTCTCCAGCCTAGCCCTGAAAGAAATGCTGGGATTTTTATCAACAACCTCGCATGCTGCCTGTTTGAGTGACTGGGAGGGGCTTTTTGGGCCGTCAATCTCTCCAGAACTAACCAATCATTCCCTCCCTCCTCCGAATCCAAAGAGAGCCCCGCCTCTCTGCCGAGTGCTCTCCTGCCCTCTCTTTAGTCAGCTAAAGAGTCAGTTCTTTATTTGCTGTTGATCGGTTCCCAACTGTAAGTAAATGAAACGTTTTTATTCTTTCTCCTGCAAATGTTTCCAGAGTGAGTTGGGGAAACTTTATAATTGCTAGTTAATGAGAAAGGGGTGGACTCTCTGAGGAACTTGAAGCTATTCTCCTCTCCAAGTCTCTAGGCTTCTTCCATGTAGCAAAAAGGGATTATACCAGAAATTCAGAACTCTTGCAACGAAAAGTAGAAGCCCAACACATTGACCCAAAAGTTCCAGCTGAGGCGCAGGACAAAACACATTTTCCCCGTGCAATCATTTAATCTGATTGCTGGGAAACAGATCACACTGGATCGCTCCCACAAGCATTTCCCGGTATGATCACACCCTCAGTTTCTTGGGGGCTGCACTGCAGGGCCAATCTGTCCAAAGGGGGGAGGGTGGGAGATGGAACCAAAAACAGGAGCATATTTTATGGAAAAATCTTAGGAAGGTTGGTTTCTCGGACTACCACCCCCAGAATCCCCCGCCTAGCCTAGCTAACTGGGGATTCCTGGAGTTGTAGTGCTGTGCCAGCTATGGGATTCTGGGAACTGCACTCCCTCCGGAAACGTCTCCCCCTCTCCGTGTACCATCTTTTTAAGCGCACCTGGTAATCCTCCAACGACAAGGTGCCCCCGTTTGCTCAGCCAGAGGTGCTTCAAGCTGTCGAATTCGGTCCTCGGGATGGGCACCACGCTCTCGGCGCTGCCCAACCGCAGGGTGAGGCGAGCGGGGGTGACCCGCAGGAAAAGCTGAGCATCCAGGCAACCCCTCAAGGGAAGGGGGACCAGAAGGACCGTCTTGTTCCCCAGGTGAGCCACCAGATCCTGGGGAGCAGAGAAACAGCAGGAATATTGGGGTTTCAGGGCTCCAAGCAAAGAGGTCCCTGGAACTCCCAGACACAAGACGACGAGACCGAGCAGGACGTGGGTGGGTGGGACCAATCTCCCGATCCCAGCTGATACCTCCCCAAAAGGTGGACGTTTTGCAAGCTGGGTCCCTCTACTACAGCCAAGATTTCTTAAGAGAAATGTTTACAGGAAAAAAAATATTCCCCCTTTCTGGGTGAGATGCCAGGACGGTGGAGGCAACTAGTACGAGGACCCGATCCGATCATCTTTCGTATTCCCAGCACCCTGCAACCTGTCCTGATGTGTTATAGTACTAAACCAGGCAGCCTCTCCCAAAAACATGGAACGGGAAACGTTTAATTTAGCAGCTGGGGTGGGGGGGAACCACAGTCCCCAGATTAGTCTCCAACAGAGGAAACGGGCTCCTAAAAAACCCCGGAGAGGTTCCCACCTCTGGATCACAGATGAGAGGGAAGGATCCACCCACCCACCCTTTTCCTTCCCCTCTGCACGGATACGTCCCCGTCTGGAACAGCTCCTGGGAATAACAGGCGTCCTCCACTCGGAGTGATGAGGTCTAGAATCCTGGGATTCATAGAATCATGGAGTCGGAAGGGGTCCCAACCCCTTGCTCCAGGTAGGAATCCAAATCAAAACAGCTCGGAAAGATGGCTGTCCCATTTTCTCCTGAAGGCCTCCAGCGTTGGAGCGCTCGCCACCCCCTCCCGAAGTCATGGGTTCTGTTGTTGTACTGCTCTAACAGTTAGGAAGTTTTTTCCTGCTTTTCAGCCAAAATGCTTGAGCCCGTCCTGTACTCTGGGATGACAGGAAACGGATTTAAATCTTCTCTCGTGGCAATGGCTATGCTCTTTTTCCCTTCTTCCGCTCTTTTATGGATGCGTGGATCCGTTTGAAGTGGTGGATTCAAGGGGCCAGAAAAGGCAAGAGCAGAAACTTTCAGGGCTCCAAACGGACTCACCCGGGGGGTGGTGGTGGTGGTGGTCTCGTTGGAGGCCACGAAATTGAGGCTGGGTCGCCTCCTATTAATGGAGGCTCTGAGCTGTGGGTTGACCCCATTGGGCATCGTGCTAGCCTAGCAACGTGACGATCCGGCGCCTCTCTCTCTCTCACCGTGTGCTGCAGGTCCAGGCGGAGGACGGGCGTCTGCTTCAAGCTGGAGACGGCCAGCAAGGTCCCCGACTGTGGGGCAGCCCCGATCCCCATCTGCAGAGTCAGGGACCAGCTCCCGTTGGTAGGGCTGAGCCCCATGGGGAGACCTAGGGGGGAGCGACGAAAGTAAGGGAGAGAGAAGGCATAGAAGCAGGTTAATGAAGGTTTGGGGTCTTCTAAGCCATTCATAAAGGATACGAAATGGCATCGCTTTGGGGAGTGACAGGATCCGTACTAAAAAACGTACGGAAATGGATGACACCCAGGAGTTATTTACTCCACCTTACCAGCTCGTAAATCAATATGTAGATGACAACTCCCATAATTCCAAAGCCAGCTGCTGGAGCTGTTCTGTTCTATTTACAGTACTTACTTATTTTTAAATGTTTCTTGGGTCAAACTAATACCCTGTTTCCCCTAAAATAAGACCTAACCTGAAAATAAGCCTGACTGTGGTTTTTCAGGATGCTCTTAATATAAGCCCTACCCCCAAAATAAGCCCTAGTTAAGTGAAAACCCACCCTCCACCATTGTGCAGCAACCAGAAGAAGAGGACAGGATTGTATTTGAATAAATGTAGATGGCTGTACATGAAAAAAAAATAATAAAACATCCCCTGAAAAGAAGCCCTAATGCATTTTTGGACCAAAATTAATATAAGATCCTGTCTTATTTTGGGGGAAACAGGGTAGTCTATGTTAAAGAGGAAAAACAAAATACAAAAAAATTTAAAATAAATAAAAACACATTCAACGCAGTACGGCACAAAACCCATTAAAAAAACCCTACTCAGACAGAAAGCCATTGAAAGAAAGCCTGCCTGAAGAAAAAGGTCTTTGTCTGCTTGCAGAAGGAGGGCAAAGATGGGGCCAGGCTGGGCTCCAGTGGGAGGGAGTTCCAGAGACTGGGAACAGCTACAGAAAAGGTCTGTCCTTCTGTCTTTCCTTCCTTCCTTCCTTCCTTCCTTCCTTCTTTCCTTCCATCATTTCCTTTCCATCCATCCATCCATCCATCCATCCATCCATCCATCCATCCTTCCTTCCTTCCTTCCTTCCTTCCTTCCTTCCTTCCTTCCTTCCTTCCTTCCTTCCT